AAGGGGAGGGGAGGGTTGGGGAGGGAGAGAGGAGGGCAGTGGAGATGGAAGTTTTGAGCATTTTTAGCAGAGGCAAGGGAGGGAATGGTTAAGCAGTTAAGTGTGGGTAAGCTATGCTGGGGCATAGGTGGGTGGTTGTGTCTCTGTAAATTGGTATAGGCCCTATAGGGTAACAGTTTTTTTAATCCTGCCGGTTTTTTTTTTTGTCAAGTTGGGAAAACCTTCAGAACACAACATGCTTGCTGTCGATCTGGTACGCTCTGTTTTCCTTTTTTCTGTTGCCCTTGTCTTTGGTTTTCAAGTATTTTTTTAGACAAAGGGGCCCTTGTATAGCAGACCCTCGTGATCGTTAATGAGGGAGTGGTAAGATAGTAGATACCACTTCGATTGTGTGAAAACTCCGCCTTTTTTCTTTTTTTTTGGATGTACACTCCGTAAAACGTTGCCACTTTACACGTGGGAAGTTTGTTTGAAAACATGTGTGCTCCAGAATGATGAAGATGGGGGCAGGGAGGGGCTACCAGGAGAAAGAATAGCATGAAAGCAGAGGTAGGTCCTTATTGCCTGGATTGTTCGTTTTGCTCATTTTTTGGCGAGGAAGGAAAAACTTGTGTGAGTGGGAACTCGCTCGAGGAGGTAGAGTTTCCTGGTGTTTTCTTTTCTTTTTCTCTTTTTTTCTTTTTTTCTTTTTTTAAACCACTAGTACCTCCACCAGTGTTGGGAAATTACAACGTTTTGTCAATTCCCGAAGTTATCGGGAGTCCAAAGAGGCTCGGCATCGTTCCCCAGACATGAAAAGAAAACAATTTTTTAATTTTTTTCCTCGGTCCTGCTTGGACATTGTCGGGCCCGTGGTCGTTCCTGGACAGCGGCCGCGTTGTGGAAACACTACCGGGTCCTACTGGGAACGGGTCGGTGCGTGGCAGAATGGCCGGTCGGTGCTCTGCGGTCGTCGGTGGATGCTGGGTGACTGGACGTCCGCCTTCGCGGGCAAACACCTTGCATCGACACGCGAAGGACCGCCGCCTGCGGACGTCCCTCGGTAGGGTTCTCCGCGGGCCGCCATCGCCTCTTTCTCTCTCTCTCACACACACACACACATTCGATACACGTACACACACACACACACACAAACACGCACACACACACACACACACGCACACACACACACACACACGCTCTCTCACATACCTAAATAGTGCACACCAGACCCAAGGACCGACCTTTGTCAGATGTAGCGAGGAAAGCACGATCTTTGATCCAAGAACCGACCTTTGTGTGTGTGTGTGTGTGTGTGTGTGTGTGTGTGTGTGTGTGTGTGTGTGTGTGTGTATCGAATGCCATATCATACCGTCCATCAAACAAACAATCATTCAACCATTCGAACAAAAAAAAGATCAGTGTGTTCAATGAATCAAACTAACAAACAAACAGTCGATCAATCAATCTTTCAATCAATAAATCAGTCAATAAACCAGTCAGCAATGCGATTGAAGTTATGACTCGATCGTTCAGTCAATCAATCAACCAATCAATCAATCATTCAATCGTTCGATCAATCAATCAGTCAATGAATGAAGGTCTACACACAGTTAATCGAACAGTTCATTTCCTGGAAGTGTGACAATCTGGGATGGCGATATATTGCAAGAAATGATACGTCTTTCATTTTGAATCGCCTGACATGAAAAAAAAAAAGGAAAAAAAAAAAACCGTAATCAAAGATCTGCAACACTATATACAAGTAATCGTAGAAGCGATTCGGGGCTGGTCGTAGATGTCGGTCGTTTCGGTATGTATAAAGACGACATATTACGTTTTCTATACTACGAACAGGTGCGGAGGTGAAAATTGCAAAACCGAAAAAAAAAAAGAAAAAAAAAAAACACAAAGGAAATAAACAGAAATCAACAAACACAGTGTCGGACAGACAAAAAACAACAACGGTCCAGTTGCGATGGCAATTGGTTTACCCTATTGTGTTCCATTTCCTTTGCGATGTTTTGTTCCCTCCTCGGGGTATTTCGTTTGACGGACGAAGTGTATGATTCCGTTTTTTTGAAGTATTGGTTATGGTGGAATTGTTGGTGTTTCTGGTACTCTTTGTCTACATCCCGGTTGGTTTTGTCTCGTTGTTCGGTTCACGTGGCGCTGTTTTTATGTGGGTTGTTCGGTCCACGTGGTGGTGGTTTCATGTGGGACTGATTGATTGTTTTTTTTTTCTTTGGCATCTTGGTTTGCTGGTTCCCGTTGTTTAGCCTATTGATGGGATGCAGTTCTTTTAGGTCGGATCCGTCATCTGGGATTGCCTTCATATAGTTTTATTTGCAGTGAAGGGTGTTGATTGCTATCCTGGTTACTGATTGTCCCATCATTTGGCATGTGATGGTGGGGGGGAAGCGCTTGCTTGTGGGACTTGTCGCCTACGATTTGTTATGTTTGTTTTTTGGGACCCTTGTCTGTTGTATATAGATATGTATTTGGGATTCCTCTCTTTTGTTTTCGCAGGCAAAAGTGTTTTGATATCCTGGTTGCCAGTGGTTGGTCTTGTCTCCTTGTTTGGGCTATGAAGTTGGGGGCGCTGCTTACATGTGGTGCTTGTAATCCAAGATGTTGTTGCCCCCTGTTTTGTTATATTTGGTTGTTTCCTTCCTCTTTACTTTTTTTCTTTGCCTTTTGGAAGTGCGCACATGGGTCGATACGACACACGGGGGTGGTGGCAGGCGGCACTCAACCACAACCAATTTTTTTTTGTTTCCTTTTGTTTTTTTCGTTTTTTTGCTCCGATACTGGTCACAAAATAAAAGTTGGTATAAGATGTAATGATGGTACTCGTTAAATGAGTCTGTGATTGTTCTTCGTCATATTCTTTTTCTATCGATAAACTACTCAACGAATATAAAAATATGTAGACTAAACCAACAGAAGTCATTGATCGTGCAATAAAGTATACAATTGAAATCATTCCCGAAAGTAACATTCTCAAATGACCGATTTACCAAATGTCTACGAGAGAATTAGAAAAACCGAAAAAACAATTGCAAGAACTTATAGATAAAGGATGGATTCGACCGAGTTTCTCTCCCTACGATGCACGTGTCTTATTCGTATCTAAAAAGGAAGGAGAACTCAAACTGTGTATTGACTATCGGGGACTGAATTCTGTAGCTATTAAGAATGCGAACTACTTTATCGTATTGATGATTTTCTCGATCAATTGTAGGGTTGCCACTATTTTAGTAAGATTGATCTGAAGTCCGGATACCACCAGATCGAGGTGACACTTGAAGATCAACACAAGACGATCCTCGTAACCATGTATGGACACTATGAATTTATTGTCATGCCTTTACATTTACTAATGCTCCTGCAACCTTTTAAAGGTCTATGAATTAACTGTTTAGGCAGTGGCTATATCAATTCGTAGTGATGTATCTCGACCATGAGAAACACCTACGAATGGTTATAGGAAAACTAAGAGAGAGTTACTACAAGTTAAATCCAAAGAAGTCAGAGTTTGCTAAATCTGAGGTACTTTATCTTGGACACATAGTAAATGAAGAAAGACTAAGACCCAAAAAAAAGAAGATCACCACAATCGAAGATTGACCCGGACCTAAGATTGTTACTGAGTTTCGATCTTTATTAGGGCTTGCTATCTACTATAGAAAGTTCGTGAGAAACTTCTTCCTTATAGTTGTACCCATAAGAAAATTGTTGAAGAAGGAAAAACCTTGGTTATGGGACAAAAAATTGTGAGTCCGCTTATACGAAGTTAAAGCATATGCTAACTCACTACCCTGTCTTAAAGATTGTTGATGCATCACTTCCCTTCATCATCACAAATTATGCTAGTCGGTTTGGAATTGGGGTTGTGCTACAACAGACGACAATAAAAACTATAAACCGATCGAGTTCATGTCTAAACGTCTTTCATCTGACAATTTAACTAACTCCACGTACGAAAAGGAAGAATATGCCTCAATGGAAACACTTGACATTTAGAAACATTACTTACTCAGACGACACTTCAACGTTTACTCAGAACACTAAGCCCTGAAGTGGATCAAGACTTAACCTTGCCTTTCCGACAAGTTAGTAAGACGGTCTCCATTCATCAATACATTTGATTTTGAGTTGAAAACCATAAAAGAAAAACCTAATGTTGTTTCTGATACTTTGTCCATACGTTCTGATTTCTTATGTACAATTGTTACCTATCTTGACATCGAAAATAAGTTGAAGGACCGAATTCGTTAAAGGTATGCTGGTGATCCGATTTGAAACCCTATCATCTAAACCTTTCAAAAGAACTTTGAAGTCTTTTTTAAATATTGAATGACTGATGATTTGTTATTTTTCATCGATCAAACAGAAGAAATAATACGCATTCCCCATAGGGAAGATATCAAAAGTATGATTATGAGGGAATGTCATGATACTGAGGGACACTTCGGGTTTAAGAAGACATATGCTGATGTAAGATAATCTTTTGAATGGAAAGGAATGAAAGAGGATGTGCTAACATATGTGCGAACTTATTTTTTTGTCGAAGTAACAAACTTTCTAATGGGAATCCCTTGGGACTACTAAGGCCACCACCTATTACAAGTGAACCAGGTGAGTCCATCTTGATTGACTTCATGAGTCTCACCAAAAGTCGAAATGAGAATAGTCAGGTAATGGTCATCGTCGACAAACTCTCTAAATATGCAATGTTCGTTTCCTTACCACCAGAAGCTATAACAAAACTTGTCATTCAGAAGTTCCAGATGCGATGGGTTTCTGAGTATGGATTTTCGAAAATCATCGTTCTTGAAAGGGATGTACGGTTCGCTGACCTATAATGACAAAAACTAATGAAAATCTATGGCATAAGATTGACCATATCGTCAAATAGACATCCTGAAACGAATGGACAAACTAAGCAAATAAACAGACTGTGCCAACAACTTTTGTGAATGTATGTGAGGCTTGGTCAAACTGAATG